AACTAACGATGCAAATTGGCATCAGTGAGTCTGAAGGCGAGAGCTATAACAGGCAACGCTGTTCTAGGCAATTTTTAATCCTGAAATAAAATACTAAAAGTAAACTGCTCTAATCTAAACTAATGCCCCCATTCCCAAATTACATGCAAATGGGGATCCCCACTATCCACCTGATGGATCATTAACGGCGCCATGCTGAAGAAAAAGAGGCCATCTGAGTCAGATCAAGGTGGGCAATGTTACTGACCGCAAGGCCAAAGTTTCTGTGAATCAAGTTTTGCTGGGACATGTCCAAGCCGGTTCACTCGCGTACTGTCTTTAGTTGTGTTTGTGATCCAGATTACCCGAATATTTGCTAGATAACCATGTGTTCCCAATGCATAAAAATACCCATCTGTCAGGCCTTTAGGATCTTATGGAAGCTGGACCCATACTTAAGAGTCATGCCCATAACCACCGGCAGGAATTAGCTCATGTATCAAGTTAAGATGCTTTCCTGCCACTGTGATAAAGCACTGACCAAAAGGGACTGGAGAGTTAAGAGCATTCATTTCCTGCTCCCCCAGAGGATCCCAGTTCTGTTCCCACATCAGGTGGCTAGCATGCCTGTAACTCCAGCTCCAGGGGATCCTTGAATACCTGCACTCATCATCACTTACACATAATAAAAATGTATCTTAAACAAAAGAGCACTAGCCAAGAGCAATCTGGGGAGCAAAGGGTATACTGGGCTTATTTCCACTTCCAGATCACGGTTCATTGATGAGGGACGTCAAAGCAGCAGCCTAGAGGCAGGAACAGGAGCAGCAGCCATGGAGGAATGTAGGTTACTGGCTTGCTCTCCTTGGTCTGCCCAGCCTGCTGTCTTAAATAACCAGGAACTGCCTGCCAGGGGTGGGATCATCCACAGTGGACTGGACCCCTACATCAACCATTGATCAAAGCATTTCCCACCGACATGCCCACGTGTAATAGAGAAAAGTCCTTAACTGAAGCCCCCCTTTCTGAGTGTGTGTGAACCGCACAGAGGCACCTGTCTCCATGCCATTCCTTTACCTTTCCTGTTAGGAAAATAAGGACTGGGAGAACTCTTAGTCAGGAAGACTAGCCATACAAGCACGAAGACCCGAGTTCAATCCCCAGTACCCACATAATCTCAATTCTGAGGAGCTCAATAGCCACAGCCAGCCTAGATGCCAGCAAAGTTTCACGCCAGGTGAGAAGTCCTACCTCACAAGAAGAAGAAGAAAAAAAAAAAGTAGCTCCTGACAAATAACACCTATGACTGGCCTTTGGCCTCTACACACAACCCTCCACACACAAAAGAAAAAGAAATAACACAAGTACTGTTGCTTTCGAGGCTAAAATTACATCATCTTCTCCTACGCCATCTCTTTAGTCCTTAACGTAGAAGAGTCTAGAAGTGCAGCTTCAGAGTTCTGTTTGGAAAGCTAGTCTCCTCCAGTCCTACCATTTTAAAATTAAAGTCTAATGAAATATACTTCAGATTCTCAGAATTCTTGACTAAGATTAGGAGAGATAAAGGAGGCAAAGCCTAAAAGGTTAGTGTCCAGATTTCACCAAAGCCAGCAATCACACCTGAGGAGCAATCTAAATGCTAAGTCCACCCCTGTATCCAGCATTTGCTGAGCCCCTACCAGATCCAGGCTCTGGGCTTCAGTTGGGGATGGGGCTGTTTCTACAGAGCCAGCACCTCAACACTTCCAAAGGAGGGGGTGCTCCGTCCACAGAACAAGCCTGCATACACAACCCTCTGTAATAAAGCAGCAGATGTCAGAGCTGAGGGTTCCCAAGTGACATGGCACTCAGTTCATCTGCACGACAAATGGGTTAGTGAACCTGGTCACAAGTCCCAATCTTTGTCACTTAACTTCCCAACAGCCTGCCTTTGCTGGTTTCCTCCCTAGCAGGCACGGTGGCACACATGTGCTGTCTTCCCAGGACTTGGGAACTAGAGACAGGAGAAACATGAGCTCGAGATCACCCAACTTCTGGCCAGCCTGGGCTACATAGAAGACCCTGTACCAAAAAGAGAAGAGGGAAGAAAAAGGAGAGGAGAAGAAAGGGGAGGGGAAGGAGAGAGAGCTGGGGGAGCAAAGATAAAAGAATTACTCCTCAGAGTGTCAGTTAAAACGTCTTAAATCTTCCCTCCTGTGACTGAAAAAGGACTGAAACTTCAAGGCTCTCCAGGAAGTGGTGCTGCGTACATCTGTCTTGCCCAGAATCCCATGTGTTTCCATGCATGGGCATGCTGCACCTGAACAGTGATGCAATTGCCTGTTTTGACCAGCACTCCTAGACAAGGCAAGAGCCACCACTAAGGAGCTTAGCATGCAGCGGCAGGAAATAACCGAGACTCCCTCATTCGGTGCTCATAAAAACTTTATTATCTGTCTGGGGAAAGGCTAAGGAGGTAAAGTGCCTGCCGCACTTGCACAAGGACCTGAGTTCAGATTCACAGAACCCTGTAAAAGCTGGCCTTGGGAGTGCACATAATCTGAGCGCTCCTGTGGGGCGAGGGGAGGAGGGATCAGAAGCTTCCCAGAAGTGTATGGCTCTGCAGCCTGGCACACACAACAGTCGTGAGCACACACAGCAGTCGTGAACAATAAGAGACCCTGCCTCAGACCAACACCTGAGTGCTGCGCTGTGACTCTCCGAGACCGTGTTAATAAAGCTAACTTGGGATGGGGCAGAGCCACCAGCTCGCTGACTGGAATTAGCCATAGAAGCCAGGAATACAGATAGGGAGGTCAGTCAGGAAGGAGAGGGGAGGGACTTGGGATTCTGGGACGTTTGGTGGGAAGAGGTGCTGGCTGGGTAACCAATAAGAAAGGAAAGGTCAGCTGGTGACTTCTCTGCTTCTTTGATCTCTAAGGTTTTTCACCCCAATAACTGCCTCTTGAGTTTTTATTGGAAATAGAACAATTCAGCAAAAGACAACACCCGAGGTTCTCCAACCTACACCACACACCAAGGCATACACACATTCACATACACACAAGCATGCATGGATACAAAACAATCTTTTAAGGGACTGGAGAGAGGGCCTAGTGGTTAAAGACATCAATTGCTCTTGTGGAGAAGCTAAGTTTGGTTCCCAGCACCCACATGGTGGCTCTCAACCATCTGTAACTCCAGTTCAGCTCGGGGAGATGGCCTCTTCTCGCTTCCGTGGACACTGCACGCATGTGGTGCACCAGCTAACATGCAGGCAAACACTCATACACATAAAATAAATATAAATAAATCTTTTAAGATTAGTAAATAATCTGATTATCCTGACATTATAAATGGGAAACCTGAGACTCAGAGACATTACAGGCCAGTGAAACAGGCCCCACAGGTTGCTAATTAACATCATATTATCCTAGCCCAATCTCCTCTTCCTGGTACAGTCAGACTCAAGTACCCGCCCTCCTTCCTGTGAACACAGACTTCCCTTAGGAGAGGGAAGAGCACCTTTGCTGAGACCAGCGGTTAAGCAGGAGGTAGGGAGTCATCCTGGACAGGCAAAAAAGGCACTGCCCAGCGGCCCTCACTGCCCAGGGGCCCTCACTGCCCAGGGGCCCTCACTGCCCAGTGGCCCCACAGGGAGGGACGGGAAGAAGTAAGGCCAACTGGCCAGGGACATGCACAAGGTCTGTCACAAGCTCGGAAAGCACTCCTCCCCCAGCCCCCCATATTACCTCAGCTACTACTAGTCTTGCTAAATTTCCTACATGCTAGCGTCTCTGCCAAATGCCATGCACACAGGAGTAGCGGAGCCATGGCTCAAACACATAAGCGGTCGACCCTGACAAGCACAAGCGGACTCTACCTGACCTCTCAGGGCCAATGCTCTCACCATAGAGCGCCAGTGGCCTGCATACGAGATAATACTCATTAATTTCTGCCAAGTAAATAGACCGAGACAGGATTTCAGCTCAGTTTCAAGGATGGGGGACCCACAGGTATACCCAGTGGTGAAGGACTGTTACATACGAGGTAATGTCTTAACAATAAGAGTTCCCCGCTCTTGCTTAAGATTGGGGCTTAAATGTGTGTGGAATGCAGACCAAAAGGAACCCTGTAAGCACCAGCTCCTAAGTCCAAATCAGCCTCAGGCACCTGAGTCAGGAAAGAGGGCACAAGAGAGCCGGTGTCTGTGGCCACCTGACCAAGTCTGCCGCACTACTGGCAGCCGCACAAGCTTCCTACCCTTCTGGCCACTCAAACCTGACCCAGAGACGTCACCCCCTGGGAGGGATGAGCAGAAGATACAGGAGGGGGCGGGTGAAGAGGGGCAGGTGAAGAGGGGCAGGTGAAGAGGGGGCAGGTGAAGAGGGGGCAGGTGAAGAACACCTCTTCAGGGCTTCCAGCGCCCTGTAGTTTGCATTCATGAAGCTCAACCTTGAATGGCAAATGGTCCATGTTCACAACTTAAATGGGCTGTGCACAGCCACCTCCCTAGAGACACCCTCCCCAACCCACCCTTCACCCACTGCACATGAAGAGCCCTAATCTTCAAAACCAAAAGCTATCCTCTAGCCATTACCCGTGAGTCAAAGTCACTCCTTGACAACCGAAGACAACTGAAACTGTTTCTGGTCAGGTACCAAGTCCAAAAGCTATCTACCATCCTCTAGCCATTACCCATAGGTCAAAGTCACTCCTTGACAACCGAAACTGGTTTTGGCCACGTACCATGTAGATTAAAATAGTAATTTGAAAGTAAAATGTTCTACATTCTGACCCCAGAGACAACAGTGAAGACCAGTCACCAAGGTGTCCAAATCTCCAACGTCAAGACCGCAAATGCTTTTAAACGTCCCCACACAAAAGTTTCCCCCACTCTTCCCATAATTTGCATGCATATTGTGTTTGAAGTCGAGGGATCAGGCTGCTAATACCTCCCTAACGATTTTTTTCCCGGACCAGTTTCGATCTGCCAAGACAGCCTAACCACCTTCAAGAGCACCTCCGAGAGCACGGCTTACCTTGTAATTGCTAGAGTTCACCCAAGAGGTAGCGAGTCCGTCCACAAGCTTATCTAACATGGTCTGGTCATGCTCAAGGTCAGCAGACTTCTGCTTGTCTGAGAAATAGTCTATGAGTTCCTGGCCAACCTGCAGCCGTTTCCCCACATCCTTCTGCAGCACCTGGGCCAGACAGGACTCCATTCGAGGTTCCATGGTAGGATTCAAATCCAGATCCGGCCAAGGCTAGGGGGCGGTCAGGATGACTCCCTCCCGGTAGCTGTACCGGGAGGTGGCCTCTTTGTTCGCTGAAGGCTACTAAGAGCGTGTGTTTCAAAGATGCAATCCGGGGAATGGCAGCAATGCACCATGTGTGTCTGAAGAGCAGCTGGTCGGATATTAAAAGTCCAATTTAAATAACTAGTAGGCGATAAAGGCGAGAGCGGCGGAGTGATGACCCACGACTCGGTCTGAAATCCTTCATCGTTCAGCAGTCCATTCTGCAAAGGAAGAGAGAACAAATCAGCAGGCAGGCAGAACACACAACTGTCAGGAAGCATTTCATCAAAGACAAAGACACTCCTGATCACACGCGGGGTGGGAAGCACGAACACTTGGCGAACGGAACAGAAAAACATGAGTATTATTTTTATTAGCAGAATGGCAAAGCCCAAAGGATTGAGCCAGAGAGCTATGTGCTTGGTAAGCTGGCATTTTTCACAGTTCCCTAGCCTGTAAACGCACAAGTTAGGAAAGCAATCTTCTGTTTCCAGTGGCTTCGGTTTTGCTTCCACCAAAACCCTCGCACCACGCGGAGAGTCATGGTAGGCACTGTCCTATCACCTATCTCTCAATAAACTCAGTCCTAGAAGGGCACAGGCTCCTCTAAACACCCTTAAAACAAGCTTGGTCACATTAGCCAAAGGCAAAGGTAGCACCTACACTGTCCCTCGCACTGTGCAGTTTCACAACGGGAGCAGCCTTCTTTCCGAGCAAAGGAGAAGAAACGCAAAGGGAAGGAGATAGGCTGTTGACGCGGTATTCTCTCTTGACAGCAACTCCACTAGGGACTACTATTTGTTATAAAATGAGTTCTCAAAATCATGTTTGGGCACTGTAAATGCATAAAAAAGGAAAAGTACTAAAACTGAGTTTGGAGTTTTTGCAGTGCTGAGGCTTGAACACAGGAACCCTATGCAAGGGTTCTACCACTGAGCTGACCCACTTTACTCTCATAAAATGGTTTTCGCTAGACAGATTTAAGAGTTAACTATAGCCGGTAGAGTAATATGTTTCTTATTCAACTTCTCTCCAACTATTAATTAGTTCCTATCATTCTAAATTAGGAAGACAAACAGGAAACCCAGCTTTCTTAAGATGCTGCATCTCAGAGCTGGAAGATGACTCGGGGGTAACCGTGCTTGCTTCACGAGCATGATGATACGAGTTCAGATCCCAGCACCCACATAACAAGCAGGAAATGGGTCTCACATGCACCTATAACCCCAGCACTGAAGAGGACAGACACGGAGGATGGGTAAAGTTTGTTAGCAAGCAGTCCAGCCAAAACACGTGAGCTCCAAGTTCAGGGAGAGGCTCCATCTCAAAGGAGTAAGAAAGACAGTGATTGAGGAAGACATCTAACCACCTCCTTTGGTCTCTGCGTGCAAACAAAGGCACGAACACACAGGTGTGTATAACACACACACACAATGTAATTTAAAATGAGGGCCAAGAAGATGGCTCAGCGGGTAAAGACACCACACAAACCTGGTGACCTAAATTCAATCCCTGGCAAACAAGTAAAGACAGAAGGAGAAAACGACTCCACAAAGTTGTCCTCTGACTGAAGGTCCATATTTCTATACAGTGTGGCAGCCAGGCTCTGAAGCCAGAGGCCCCACCTGAGGTGGTCACGTAGCCCTGCAGACAGCCTGTCACTGCCCTAACAGAGGGTCAGGATGTTGTTGCTCCTTTCTTTGTAATTTGGAGGATGCCTGATAGAGCACACACAGCAAATAGGCAGAGGCGGAAGTGACAAAAAGCCATCCACCTGGCTACCTCGGAGACAGAATGCTAATGTGCTTCCCCTCCCCCTGATTTAAGTTTTAGGAAAAAGACTGTTTGGAGACTAAACAAGGAGGAATTCTCCAGGATGTGAACTCAGGACTTCATGACCACTGAGAATCTCCCTCCCGATAAAGCCATGTGAGTTGTGTCTTTATTTCAGCGCCTCCACGCTGGTCCAGAGATAGTTTATGTTGGGGTCTGGTCTAGAGACTTAATTTATGGTCCGGGCTGCTACCAGACCCCGAAATCTGACCTACACAGATGGGCCACAGCATGCATAACTACCCTCATAATATACTTTTAAAATATAAAGTGTGAAAATAAAAGCATTCTACATGGTTCCAGAAAGAAGCAAGCATTCACTGTTCAACATCGGCTACAGCATGCGGGCCATGGACTCAGCAACACTAGTCAGTGCATAAGCTCTCAGGAAGCTCTCAGGAAGCAATGTTCTCAGTAACGCCAGTAAGTACATTAAGTTGCCAGCCCTATCTGCTTTCTGATTTAGCAAAATGTAGGGCTATGACCAGAACTACTAACTCTAACCACCACGCCTTCCCTGCCAAGATGGTCTGACATGCCCAAAAACTGTGCCAAGATCAACCTTTACTTCCTTTAAAAGCAAAGCCAGGAGCCTGCAATGTAGAACCTGAGACCACCAGAGTTCATGTGAAGAGAAGGTGCTGCTAACAGCACAGCCTTCCACCCAGAGGGGACACCAGATGGTGTTTGCGGCCTAAGTCCAACTAGAGATTCTAACAAAAGGTACCTGAGGTTGCCCTCTGACCTACACATGTGCTGTGCCTGCACACACTCCCACAGACACACATATCCATGAACATACACACACACTATATATATATATATATCAGAAGGGACTTGGAAAGGGCTGGAAGGAGAAAAGGGAAGGGGGAGAATTGTGTAACTATAATTTAATTAAAAATAAAAACCACCTGAAAATGTCGAGGCATGCATGGAAGACAGGTAGATTATTAAGCAGCCAACCCTGGAAGACTAGACGCGGGAGAAGTCACTCGCACTGAGCCGAAAGCAGCACGCATCCATTCGACAGCATCTCCTCCTGCAGTTTTGTAGCAGTCAGAGCTTAGCATGCAGTCTCTGCTCTTCCTCCTTCTCTCTGCTCCCACCCACGACCCCCGGGTTGTAAATCCCCGCCCCGCCCCCCCCACACACACTACTCAGTGAACACCACGCAGGCCCATGGGAAGACAGGTGCTGAACTCCACTGGCTGCTGAAGCCCAGCCCGGTGACTCCAGGGCTCTTGCTGCCTAGAACAAGGAAGAGACAGGCAGACAGCTATGGGTAGCACAGGAAGAAGACAAAACACTCGGGGATCCAGCAACACTTCAGCTGAGAACCAAAGACGGAGCAGCTCACCTCAGTCAGACTCAGGGCCACCCACCCCAGTCCAGCTTCCCTTGGCCATCACACCCATACTCCAGAGCGCTCCCTCCCTCCGTCTTCTGCTTTCCTCACGGCTTCAACACCCATGGGGATGACTTCAACCTTCCAGTCACCTGCCCCAGGATGAATGCTCTCTCCCTTCTATTGGCCATTCACTACCAGCAGCTGGTAGATGTCCCCTAAATCGCCCATCTTCAGCAGGCCCTCATTGCCTCCATTGGGGACAGACACGGTTAACAGTTGTCTAGGAGCTGCAGAGTCAGCTGGGCAGACAGAGGACCCCAGTTCAGTCCCCATCAGCACAAAAATTAAAATGTTTAAAAAGGATCACTTCTCTTTTCTACTCCTCAGAACTCTCTCAAAGACAAAAAGAGAGGCATGTGCTCAGACAGCTGCCATGATGGAGGTGAGGTTTGCAACACTATCCCCTCTGCTTCTCCTCCTGCTACAAACTGTCCATTACAGAAGGGGAGGGCTCTAACTCTCAGAACAGGGCTGCAAAGTTTATGCTTTTAAAAAAGAATGAGGGGCTGAACAGATAGTTCAGCAGTTAAAAGCAGTTCTCTCTCTTTCTCTCTCTCTCTCTGGGGGGGGCGCGGGGGGGGGGGGTTGAGACAGCGTTTCTCACTGTAACTTTGGAGCCTGTCCTGGAAACTAGCTCTTGTAGACCAGGCTGGCCTCAAACTCACAGAGGCTGCCTGCCTCCTGAGTGCTGGGATTAAAGGTGTGCACCAATCACTATCCGGTTGCTGTTGTCACTTTTACAGAGGACCAAGGTTCAGCTCCCAGAACCCACAAGGCAGTTCACAACTGTCTGTAACTCCAACTCCAGGGGATCTGACGCCCTCTTCTGGTATGCAAGGGCACTGCATGCATGTGGTACACAGACACAAAGCACAAACACAAAAGTTCCTCAAATACGAAACTTTTTTTTAAATGTTTAAGAAAGTAAAAAGAAAATAAATGAGAAAAGCATGGTAATAAAAATTTAAATGACACAAGATATGGAATTAAATTATGTTATATAATAAAGCCTGTTATTTCAAAAAGTACAGAAAGATAAACTATCAAAGTATAGTCTAATTACTAAAACCATGAATGCTTTCTTTTCTGCTGAATGGTTATCTTACTACTTACTGGATTATCGTTAACATTTCACTTAGAGTGTGTGCACACACCGTGGCATGTATGTGGAGAGCAGGGGACAACTTGCAAGAACTCTCTTTCCAGCATGTGGGGTCTGAGGTCCAAACAGATCTGCAGGCTAGGAGGCAAGCATCTTTACCCCCTAGACCATCTTACTAGCTTCATATTTCCATACTTTTCATATTTTTTAAACAGAAAAAAAATCTCAAATGAAGCCCTGTTTATTTATGTCAGCCTTATTTTTTCCAAAATGAACTATCAACTGAAAACAAAGACTTTTTTAAACAAGGCTGATTTTTCTTCTTCTTTTAAAAGACATTTAAATGTATACAAAGGGATTAGTGTCAACATCAGCACAACAATTTGTTACAAAATGAAGGCACTTAACCCTGGATAGGAGAGGTAATAACAACTTAGGGGTCCATGGAGATGAGAGCCTGGCAGAGAACCAGCTTGTTAGGGTGACAAGGAGCATCGCAGACAGGGTGCGCTCACACACTGGTTCCTCGAGAGAATGGATCACCTACCCAGTTTACCAACCCTTGACTTCAGTCACCTCTTACACAGAGCTCCATCTACAACTTCAGTCTCACACCAGGGAAAATTACATCACCAAACCTCAGCAACTTCTACACGGGGCTTTCAGGTAACAGGAAAACCGCTTGCCACTAACTTGTCCTAAATTCTGCAGTGTGTCTGATACTCACAAACTGCACAACGTCACCACTCTCTTTACCCTTTAGCAGTTCACCGAGTCCTACTGCATTGCAGTCCCTTGTATTGAATCATATTTATGTGTTCATTCATTGGAGACAGGGGCTCATAATTTCCAGGCTGGGCTCAAACTGGCTATTCAGC